TGGCTGGGGAATTCTGGGAGTTGAAGTCCACACCTCTGAAAGCTGCCAAGGTTGAGAAACAATGCTTAGATAAATGCTAAATGCAACTCATCCACCCACATACAGTACCTTGCCAGGCAGGCTAGTAGGTGTGCAGCTGGGAAAAGTCATCCCCACCATGCGATTAACTTTTTTTTTTTTTTTTTTTTTTTTTACACATGCCACTTTCCCATCAAGTTCAGTCAATAGCAAGGGACATGACTGGGCCCGACTGCTATATTAGCTAGGATGGAAAAAGTTTAACAATACTATCACAAGCTGCAAAAAAACGCATAGCCAAATTACAGTATCTGAAACAGGCAAAAGACTTCAAAAGATGATGCGTGAAACAAGTTGTTTTCCACCAGAACAAAACATGTAAAACATCTATTTAGTTTCAAGCCCATAGTAGTAGAAACGTCTGTTGAGGTTAGAACTTTCAACTTCAACATATTTTACTTATTGGAATTGGGAGGCACGTTAGCATTATTTCATTTCTTGCATATCTAACCAGGAGCTCCAGAACTCTAGCTGTATTTGGGTTAAAGGTGAATATAGCTGACTTCAGAACCCAGGAACCCACTTTATTTGGGTTCCGGTTCATTTGAAGAGCCAGTGGCATATAAATGCATTTCTCTTACAGATTTCCCACTTCTGAGTGTGTAGAAGCTGAAACGAGGAGGCTGAACATATGGCCCTGCTTTTTCCCAGAACAAATCTCCTGTTGCTTTAATTTCCAATTACTTTTACTTGGAATTAAAAACGGATGATTTTTAAATTTCAGAGCATTCACAGCTTATTGTCCAATAATTTATTAGTATTCATGGAGTAACATGAAATTATTTCTGTGCTAAGAGTTTTTATTTAACATAATTGGTTAGAACACATTCCTATTAAACTAATTTACACTGAATGCGCTTCTGTTGAATTGTCGTTATTGCTTCTTTATTTGATAAACTTCCTCTGTGATTTTATGTGCCATCCTCAAACTGCTTGCTCAGGAAAACTTCGACCGTGATATCACTGTGGGTTGATGGGCCTGAGGACAGTTACCCTTCTGTACTTAATTCACAAATTAGCACAGATTTCTCTACCCATGTGCCTGTTTGAAGAAACAAACTACTGGGATTTGGTAGTTTGATAGGAACAGAGTCTTAGTAGTTTCTTCTAAGTAGAGAAACTGTCATTTGTACAAGAAAGTATTTTTAGATATATATTCTAAAGTAATTCTAGCCAATACATTTCACTGTTAACTGTTCCTTTGAAAATCAAGAATATAACATAAAATTACAAGGGAGGTTGGCTTTTTTTCATTTTTAGTCAAGAAGAACAAGCTGCTTGGGGTTGCTACATGTACATGTGCTCATCCAGTGATTAGATCTGAATAGCCTATTTTTAGACAAGCATTGGATAACCTTACATTTGTACTCCACTGACCTTTTGGAGGCATTCTTGAGAAGTCAGCTGTAAGTTACTGGGAATCTAACTACTTGTGAGCAATTTTTCTATGATTATCAAAGCACATCCACTGTAAACTTATGTATCAGGGACTCAAGATAGACTGCTGCACCAACTTGGTTGAGACTAGAGAAGCAATTATCTCCTGCTGCCTACATTGGCAATAAAATAGTCATAATCTGTTTTATTGCCACTGTAGTCTTGTACCTGTCTATTCAAAAACCCCGGAGTGTTTGATGGGACTTATTTCCAGTTCTGCCCAGTATCTCAGAGATTCAGCATAACTTTCTTATCCAACCATCTCTTTCCTTTCTTTTTGTAGTAATTCCCTGAGTTATAACAATGTAGATTAAGAAGTAACTACCTTGAAATGGTGATTAAGTGAGAGCATTTGAGGCACATATGCCACTAAACAAATCAGGTTAGTGCTCTGGAAGGAATAAGAACTAGAGGCACTCATTTGAGATGGTAGGTGCAAAATGATTCTAGATTGTATGATGTAGCCAAATGCAGCCTTTTTACATAGACATGGGGGCAGATTGGCCTAGAAGGCACAGATATAATAAAATTCAGTAGTAACATCTCACTTTGAAATATTGTCTAAAATACCTACTGTGCTGCTAATCATAATTGACTTCTGTTGCATTCTGTATTTTGCAGTTGGCAGAAACTCTAATTATCAGATTTCTTCCATCACATAAGAGGTATTTCTTATAAGTGGGCAGAAAATGTTTATAATTGTCACAACCCACCTGCTGTAGGATGATATATATGAAAGGCTAATGATCTGTAGACAATAACTAGCGCTATAACTTACTAAGATCCTAATTGATTTTAGAATTAGAGGTTTTAGAACTTCTCTGTTTGCTGGCATTCTGCAATCTGGCACAGGTTTAGAAATGTAGGCTTCAATTAAAATCTTTACTAGTGCTGTTGGTGCTGTTACCTATTTTTTACAAGCTGCATAAAATTCTTTTGTGAACAGAAACTCAGTCTCTATTCTAATATTGTAGTGCATTTATGCAAAATACTTTCATCCTTTATAATGTTAATGGAAAACTTACTTATATATTAAATGCTAGTTCTAGTAAATTATACAATGCATGTTTGAGCCCTTTAAAAACCAAGACATGTTAAAGCAATATAGACAAAACAATGCAGCCGATTAAAATGTAGCTGCAATTTGAAATTGGTTATTTGTTCAAAAGTAAAGGCAGATAATTGAAAATAGGAGAGAAGATGGATGATCTAAACTCGGTTTCAGTAGAGGTTTAGTTAATCACATGTGCACTGAGCCTAATAGCAAAGAAGGAGTTAAGAAGGAATCAAGCTTTTTGCTAACAACTGTATCATTTGTTTCTTTTACCAACTGTATTATCTTGCAAATATGGGTGTGCAGATTCCCAACGGAAACAAGATAATTTGGAATATTTTAAATATTTTAGACTTCGTCTGATGGAAAACACTCTTTACCACATAGGGATTCAAACCAAAAACAACTGTGTGAATCCTTTGCCTCAGATCTTTAGAAAATGTGAAGAAAATAGCTTCAGACAGCTTCAGAGTAGATTAAAACTTGATAATTTTCCAATCCACCATACACATACACAAGATGGAAGAGTAAAGGGGGTGGTTTTATAACTGATTGCATTAACTTCCAATCACAGAGTAACTTTATCAGTTTTCCTTTTTCTTTTCAGTCATAGTTGTCTTGGAAAGCATATAAATGTGGTAGACAGTACATGGTTTAAAAATGCAAAAGCAAAAATACAAACATTGTAAAATACAACATGTAAAGCAGTATAATATTTATCAGTTGCCCCTTCCCCCAGAAGAGGGGGCAGGAAATCCCTTTCCCTCTTGCAGACAAATTCTGCATCTGTCTTTATTTGGGAATGTTTCATCCCTCAAGAATGCAATTATTCAGTTCTGTCAAAAGCTAAAAATGTTACAGCAATCCATTCATTTCCCTGTGACTGTTAATAGGGAGAACGATTCAGCAGGTTTTGCTTCAGACCTGAACCAATGCATGGCATCCCAGAAACAGTCAGATTAAACAATGCTGCTGTTTCAGAAGTAGGGGAGCAATGTTTGAACACAAACCTATCTTCAGGGTACACCAGTAATTGATAACGTTTTCTTCAAACAGAATAAAAACTGTTTCTCTGAATTAGGTTATACCGGTTTGGGTTCTTGCTGGGTACTGTGTAAAGTGTGGAATTTGCCCTACATTTTGCAAAATCTGTTCTACCTTAGGAGACCAAATGTGAAGGAGTTTCCTGTGCGCTTGTAATATGGGCTGTCCCACATGTGCATCCTCAGAGTCTAAGAGACAATAAATGGGGAATCTTGAGGCACAACCAGAGGCAGAGCTATGACTCTTATTCTGCTGACTGGTTCTTACTCCTGGCAACACCTTATGCTCTCACCATTTTTATAACTCTGGTTGCTGTCTCATTTTGAAAGAATAGTGTGAAATGGTGGGCAATGAGGTATTATTTGTACTAACTAAAGATGCTAAACAATCTGAAAATAATTGATTTGTTTTTCATTAAAGTAACCTCAGTCAGTTCTGATAAATGGGGCTTCTTTGGGAAATTATTCAACATAATGTCATTTTATTTCCAGGAGATTCCTTCACCCAATTCAGATTTGCTGAAGAAAAGGAGTGGATTACAGAAAGCCTTTGCCCAAAGCAGGTAACGGAGAACAAATCTTTCTTTAAAAAATTGCTCCGTATATTTCAATTTTTAAACTTCAGTTCTTCCATGGCAGTTAACAAATTTGCCCAATAAAACTGATATAAGCATAATGTTGTTTCAGGCATCATCTTAAGACAGTAGGCAATTGTCACTCACTGTTCTCTCAGTCTTTATGCAACACACACACACATACACCAGTGCAATATAAAAATTATATTACTACCTTGTAAGGATTATTAAAGTAATATATGCAAATTGCTTTGAACACTTAAAGTGCTCTTTATAAATGCTAAGTAAGTGTTATTAAATCTAAAGAGAGTAAAATAACCAGCTATTACATAAAAACTATTAAAAATCAGTCCTCCCACATGCATGTTAAATCTTAGTACCAGCCCAAACAAATCGGATATGTATCTAAAAAAATGGACATGGACTACAGTTGAATCTGCATCTGGAGTGGAACAGTACAAATAGTACATATGACTTTGTATCAGCCACAGGTACAGTATTGTTTTAGTATGCAGAAAGTTGTCTGCTATGATATTCTGTCCCAGTTTGATACAGTGAGTAGAAACAGCTACCGAAAATAGAGTGCAGTGTTCAAAGACATGGCTATTAGCTGTTAAGTCTTGATAGGAGAGGACTTTTACATTGAAGTAGTAAAAAAGAGATCTTGAACATCTGGGCACAGTAGTAGATTTTGCAACATCCTGCTGAAATGCATTGGAAGGTTCATTGGAAGTTGAATAACAATGGTTGATCTTGGTATCCAAACCAGATCAGGTCACTGGGTCAGATTGCCTACCATCTGTCACTGATTAGCATTCTGAAATGTATTTTTTCTGAGATCTGTGCGTAAAAGGCATGCACATAATGCAAGCTTTCCCACCATTGCTCAACGATTAAGTTGGCTTTTAAAGTGAGGCAAGATTAATTTGGTGGTAAATTACGCCAAGAAAATTACACAAAATTACACAAGAAAGTGGTGTTCCCTCCCCAATTTCTCAACTGTGTTTTAAAATTCTGTGAATGAAAACCAGAGCTGAAAGGGGAAGGGTGAATTGTAAATGATTTGTCAAACACAATTCAGAGAAAGGAACAGGAAGGGACTTTGAAAGGTGGCAGATTTGTAGGATAAATAACTCTTTCCAACTCGATGACTATTTTACTACAAAGATGTGAGGGGAGAGAGGATTTATCTACTGGTTTTATCCTAGACATATTGTTAAAGTTTGGGAATTGCTGTTGTAAGATTATTGCTTTACTTAGAGAGCCTCTAATGAAGTGAAATGAATCCACCGATGATGGACAAAAGAAAACTATTTTTCCTCTTTTATCGTGCCATCTGCACATTTATCAGCTGTTGGGAACAAAGTCAGCGACAGCTCAGGAGAGCATTCTAATATTTCCATCCCCTTGCCTTGTATTAGGCTAACGTCTATGCCAAAATGGTAGAAGATCCTAGACTGCTGCTCAGAATTGGGTCTCAAGTTTGGCTTTCTTTTTTGCATTTGTCATGCCCATCACAGAAAACATGTGATGAAATGGCATCATTCTGTGACCTTGCTTCCACTCGAACATAACATCCAATGCCATGGAGGAGGGTATCTTATAGAACAATGGTATTTTTTGAGGGATCTTATGAAGAATTTCTTACATTTAATACCAAGAAATCTTTTTCCTGCTTTGTTTATTGTCTCAGAAAAGGAACATGAACTTCAAAGGAGTTGGGAGTCAAATGATTACTGTATTAGGTTTAACATAAGTGGATATCAATAAAGTATCCTTTATCACAGACTTTTCCACATTATTTGAGTGAGAATTATTTGTTTATTTCAAATACTAATAAAGTGTTAGAACTTTTGCTACAAGTACCTTTGGTTTAAAGTTATGGCGAATTTCAAAACAGTGCTAAAGCAGCAACAAATGTTAAATGATAGACATAAAGATCTGTGAACCCTCCTGAATTGGTCCAGGATCTGTTCAGTTATTTGTTCATTTCATTAACAATATAGTTATGGCATTTTTGTGCTAAGAAGAACCAGGGCAATACACAAACAAAATCATGGCACATTAAAAACCAACCACAGAAATTTAAAACATTGAAATAACTAGTACAATAAAAGTAGTTTTTAAAAACTATTTTTAAAAAGTATCATGCTCTATTCAAAAAAATTAAAATGGAGGCATAGTTTATTGATTTTTATCCTCTTTATAAATAGGATTAAACTTCTGTGCCTCTGCCTGTTTTGTGCAGTGGCTTGTTCCCATATTCTTTCAGAAAATACTAAATACTGACGTAAAAGAAGCAAAACAATGTTGTCAGAATTACTTAACTTCAAGGTAATAGATGGTTGCTTGTTAATGCTTCAGTCTCTATATGAAATCGTGTGTGCATGAGTTCTTACACAGTTCATTTTAATAAAGATCTCTCGTGGCTTTGTTCACGCTGAAAGAATAAGGCACCCCTTGGCTGTTAGTCCTTCCCAACCTAGTGGGGAAGACTTTGTTAAACTCTGTGATCAAAGTGAATGTAGTTTTAATTTAGTGTGCATGCACTTGTTTTCAGTTGTCTGGATTGTATGTTGACTGCCAGTCCTTGGTTCAAGCGCTTGAAGAGTTGCCTCTGCATCTCAAACTCAATGTGGCTGCTGAACTGGTCCAGGTAATACACGTATTCCTCAAAAATACCTTAAGCCGTACTATAATGCAGCCTCATATTATTTTAATGTAACTACTTCAGCTCTGCAAGGGAGGAATGCTATTAAATAGCAGAATTGCCTATCAGCACTTCTTCAGCTTCATTGCTCTCTAAAGCAAAATGTTTCCCACATGCCAAGTGCATTTCGGTCAAGACTAGCATCCCCGAAGACTTGCTTGTTCTAGTTCTGTTGCTCCAGATTTTGACCTCCCCCACTCTTGTTTAGCAGCATCACAGGGAACATTTCTTTCTTGTTCTGACTGATCTGTACAGTAATCCTTGCTTTGATCTTGTCCATCACGCAGTGAATCTAGTTCAGCAGTGCAGCTGCTACACAGACCTATATAAAAAAAATTACTTTTGCCCAGAGTTTATAATTTCAGGTAGCAACATGAATATAAAATATCTTCTGTATGTGGGAAGAAAAAAAGCAAAATATTCAGGTAGACTGAAAAGAAATTATGTGAGTTAAGTGTAGCTGTTGGGTAAGCTTACAGTATGTCAGATGCTAAAAAAATAATTCTGGGTTAGATAGAAGGTAGCTATATGAGAACGAAAAACCATTTTGTTCTGAGGGATTGCCTAAAGCAACTCAGATATTGACATTGCTCATTTTTTTCCTGTTTCAGCTCAAAGTCATTTCTGCAACTGTAGCAGAGAAATTTGCATTTGTTTTGCAAGTCAAATTCCTTCCTGCACACACAATGGCAAGGCTGGATGTCATTCCTTTTCCTGCTGTTAATTCTTTAAAAAGCAGTGGCTGGCTTCTTTATCCACTGTTAGGGCACATTCTGTGCTGTAATGAAGTAACAGATTCTCCTACGGTGCCTGATTAGAGCCAGCAGGTCAATGAACTGCAGGCTGCGGGACATTACATTTCCTTCCCTTGTTTCTTGTTACTGAATGGACCAATTTGCTGTCCTTGGTTATCGTAAGCTGATCAGATCTTGGCAATGATAAAATAAAAGTTTGTATTGTTTAGCAGAATGAATACTTCCCATTTGGTTGGCATTATTTTTCCAGCTTCTTGAGGAATCAAATGAAATTGCAACAAAGTGGGAGGAAGGAACCTGTCTTTAACATTTGGATGTTCTAAGCCAGTGTTTCTCAACCATGGCAACTTTAAGATATGTGGACTTCAACTCCCAGAATTTCCCAGCCAGCCATGCTGGCTGGGGGATACTGGGAATTGAAGTCCACATATCTTAAAGTTGCTAAGGTTGAGAAACACTGTTCTAAGTTCTTCATTGGAAAAGGGCCAGGCAGGCTGTCGGTTCCAACAGTTCCTTTTGTCTGACCTCAGATGTATTTCAGGAGAAAGCACGAGGATAAAAAGTTTGCAGGAAGATCCTTGAAAATGTAAGAAAGAAAATTATGCAGATTATTAGTACAGCGTGTGTATCTTGATAAATAAAAGGCTGAAAGTGAAGCTTCTTAAAATATTTAAATATTGATCTTACTTTCTGGAGCAATATTCCTTTTTTTTTTAAATGATCTTCTATAGGTATGAGCTTATTTTCCATAGTTTTTAAATATGTATAAATGAATATTCACTGATTTTTTTTTCCTGTTAGAAGCTAAACTTCAAGTTGGGTTACTAAGTAGTTGTATTGCATCAACCATTGTTTAGAATGCTGTTTTTTATGATTGTAGGATGCAACACCAATCACACTTCCCCAGATTAAGCTGCAAAGTCATGATGTGCCCAAGAAAAGTGGTGATCTGTTACAACAGCAAAAGAGAGTTGTGTCACACTGTAATCCCATGGAAGAGTCTGCTGCTCTCTTGACTTTGCCAAATAAAGATGGATGTGGAATTTCTTCAGAGGTTCTTCAGAGAAGTCCTTCAAGTTTGCGTCAGGTAGCAGATCATTTGGATGAAGACCTTGATCTGCTCCTGAAATTAGATGCCCCTATTAATCCTGAAAACAATGTTGCTTTGGAAGTTGTAGCAGATGGCATAGCATCTGGGGATGATTTGAAAATGACTCTTGAAGAAAAGGGTAAGTATTAGGCATTTTTCCTCCTTTGTCTTTCTCCTAGTTATTATTATTTGGTTACTATTATTTTTTAATGTAATCAATGAGCTAGCTTTGCTTCCACAGACATTTTATGACATTACACTGAGCTGGATAATACATTGTTATCTCAGTCATGTATACTATATGTCATGTTCGCATATGGATCACCTTGCTTAATCTATCAAAAAACATGCCTCTTCTTTTCCATGCAGTGAACTATGATTGGCAAGATTATATATAGAAGCCTAGTGGGTGAACTTGGCTCTTTCCTGTTTGGAAAAGAAGATGGAGATCTTCCTTTACTGAAAATGGACCATAATAACCTGGCACAAAGGCTGGCTTATTCTAAAGCTATTTTTTAAAACAAGTTCTGAGTTCATAATTTATAGTCCATTTCAGAATGCATGCTAGGCTTAGACAGTAGGTACTACTTTAGAATGGAGCAATAAAACATTCAGGTTAGGGCCTTGTAGATGACTTGGCCATTCTTTATCAACTAAAACCACATTACCGCACCATGGGGATGAGCCTGTTTTTTCTAGTGATGAGTGAGCACCAGGTATTATATTCCATGGCTGAGGCTATGTTTCCCCCAGCATTCTTGTTACAAATCATTTTGCTCTAATCCATCACTATCCCAGAAATTATCTCTAGGCATCCTCTATTTGCACATGTTTTCTGAATTCTCCTTCTGGAAAAGATCATTTATCCCTTCTATCCGGTTACATGAGAATCTGTAGTTTCCCCTGTGTACCTGTTAGTATTGTTAGATGCTGTCAAGTCAGAGTCAACTCTTAGATCATCCTGGAGAAAATCTATGTGGTTGCTATCTTCAACCTGGCCTTTTAGGTCTCACAGTAGTGTATTCATTCCTGTTGTAATTGTGTCACTGTTATATAAATTAGATTACATTAATTAGGAAAATAAGAGGAATGGAAATGAGTACATTTAAAGCAGAAGGTTTTGATGCCACCATGATTTAAGTTCCACTGTAAGCTGGCTCCTGTGTGTGCTTAAATTGAACAGTTAAACATACCTCTTCACTGGGCACACATTTTTGAAGCCTTCCATATTTTAAAATCAGTACTGCAAAGATTACAGAATTGTATTATTGGAAAAACTTACTGTAGGATGTAGAGTGGGAATTGTGAGAATACAATGTGAGAATGAATGAAAAACAAGTATTCTGATTATGGTAAAAAATGAGCAGGTCATACTTTACAGTTGAAAGAGTAAAGATCTTATGTGACTCACTAATTTTATACCTTTTATCTAACCATATTCTGGCAAAAACAATCCAGAATAAATCCTGAGGAGTATGGTAGTTGGTAAAAGGTATAAAAATTTTATGTATAAAAAGGTATAAAAAATCTTTTAATGATTGATTTTGTATTTTTATGTTTCATGTAAAACAAAAAGCACGTAACAAAAACAAATATTATAATTTTCAGAAAGTATTTAGTACTTTTTCTTAAAAGTCGAGCTAAGGGTGAATTATGCTATTTTCCAATTTCACATTGTATGTTTAAGCTAAATATTCTAGATCATTCACACATCCAGAATTCCTTGTAAATGTTTTACTTTCACTATGGACATGCAAAAACATACATACATACATACAGTCGTGTGAAAAAGAAAGTACACCCTCTTTGAGTTCTATGGTTT